ACTTTGGGCCAATCACCAAAAGACTGGGAGTTCTGGTCCCACCTTAGGCATGAAAAACCAATTGGGTGACTTTGGACCAATCACCAAAAGACTGGGAGTTCCAGTCCCACCTTAGGCATGAAAAACCAATTGGGTGACTTTGGACCAATCACCAAAAGACTGGGAGTTCCAGTCCCACCTTAGGCATGAAAAACCAATTGGGTGACTTTGGACCAATCACCAAAAGACGGGGAGTTCTAGTCCTGCCTTAGACGTGTAAGCTTGCTGGGTGACTTTGGGCCAATCTTTCTCTCTCTGTCTCAATCCACCTCACCTCCAAGGTTGCTGTTTTGGGGAAAATAGGAAGAGGAATGAGTTCTAAGTATGTTTGCCACCTTGAGTTATTCATAAAAACAATAAAGGCTGGAAATAAATCAATAATTGAATGAGAACAAGTCCGAAAAAAAGCAGGAGGATTTTGTCTGAATTTCAATAATAAGTGCAGTGTTAGGAAAGGGACCTGAAATATTAGCAGCCAGCTGTTTTCCATGGAGATAAGCAGCATCTGGCAGGTTCTCCTTAATAGATTCCAGTCTCCAATCTTCTTGAGATCAGCCTTGCCTTATCAGTCCTGGCCTTTTCTTCGTGCTTCTCACCTAATGACCTCTCTGTCTCTCTCTCTTCTAAACTCCTGAGAGCTTGCAATTCATGTCTGCTTCTTGCTAGCAGGCAAACCTTGTCTTCCTCTGCTTTGAGCTGAATCCAATAACCAATTAAGGCTTTTAGAAAGCCTTATTTGCCCTGAGCTTTCATTTCCCGTCTCACAAAGATGGCCGTGGGTGAATTACCGTTGTTTCATAAGAAGAATTTCATGGCTTAAAAAGTGAATTGGGAAACAGCCTGGTGTTGTGTTCCCCCCAAAAAACATTCACAGGGCAATGTTAATTTCAGGACTCATATTTATAGGTGGAAGATTCCACCTGTTCAATTTGTGCCGTTCTCAGGTTACTGGTCAAGACAAAGAGAGGAAGAAATGGTGTTCAACAAAGGAGATAGGAGACTTTATGGTCCAAGAATAATTTACTGTTCTGACCGAGGCTTCCCAAGAACATGAAGCAAACTCCTGGTCCCGACAAAAAAGCCTTTTATTCATTTCCTGTGAATTCTTCTCATTGACATCCAGCAAAGTCTTTCAAAGGAGGATTTACAGTCACAGACCTTATCTGGCTTGGAGAGCTGCCAGGACGATATCTGCAAAACTTGGCAAGGAATCTCAGAGATTCACAAACCAATGAAGCGAACCAATTGTCTCCGGCAAACTCCACTCCCCTTTTGCTCCTCTTTTACTTCCTCGGGGGAGGGGGAGAGGCATTCATTGTCCACCTGTGGCCTTACTCCCAAGTCGACCCCTGATCTTTAGATGTTTCCTTTGTCTGGGAACTCTGTTCATGGGCACACTGGGAACAGGCTCCAGCTGTTGGTCTGCCTCACTGATGTCTGACTCTGAAGGCAGCTGATAACTGTCAAACAGCCCTGGCTCCCTCTCTGCCTCTGACACAGAGCCCTCATCAGGNTAATACTTATGAGGAAGTTGGGGAGAAGGTTCACTCCAGCTAAAAGTCAACTTTGGGACTCCAGGGCACTAGAATGAAAAGCCAAACTAAAATGAATTTATAAGGTCCATTCCATTAAGACCACCTAACCTGGCCAGCCACTGGTGGGTTTACCTGTGCAACCCATGCTGCATCACTAGCAAGGTGTGGCAGGGTGAGGTCCTGTCACTCACCTCATCTTCTGTCCATCCTAAAAATTCAAAAGCCTGTTCTATGCAAGTAGATAGATAGGTACCACTTCGGCGAGGAGACAAGCTGGTGCTCTGTGTAGGCAGTCAAATTCCTGACAGCTGGGAACCTACCCGGGTTGTAGTGCCCATTGGTGAGGCAATTCCAGGAAGAGGATCTTGTTTGACGCTGCTGTTCTTTCTCTCTGGTGCGAAACCAGCTTACCTCCTGTGGTGCACCTTGTGAAGCATGCCAGCATTTCCTATAACAAGGCTAGTACCTTGGCAAGCCAAACTACCACTCTGTAATAACAGCATGGTCTCCTGGCTGCTGTAACAAGACCATATTTTAATAATAATAATAATCAGTGGAGGATGCTACTCCGTATTTGATTAGAGGGGTGAGGGCCCAAGACAGATCTCCTTTGCCGTGACCACAAAGAATCCAAGACAAAAGTTTTCTGGACTCTCAATTCCCAGAATCAGGGGGAGTGGGAGCCTTTTATAACCATCCAGAATTCAGTCCACCTAAGCCTGCTTTGATTCATTATTTGCAATTCAGTCAGGTCTGATTCAGAGTCCTATTTGACGGCATTGCAGTGGCTCTTTTCATCACCAAGAAGAGGCCACCTCCTCTTGCCTCCAACCCAGGGGATTAGCTCATCTGTCTTGCATGCCCTTTTTTTCTTCCAACCGTTGCAAATAAAATTAGGCTTCTGTGCTAACAGAGACGTCAATACACCAGTATCACTGAGGCTGGGTCTCTTCTGATTCAGGTGTGTTTACATGCAGCCAGACAGAGAACTGATGGATTGCCACAAAGAATGCGGCCTCTAACATCCTGTTCTCTCCAACTGTACAGCCGGGAGAAGCCATAATGTTCCCTTCCCCCTCTATTGCATGCCAACAGAGTGATTAACACAAGCATACTGTTTACTGCAGTCCCAAATCCTGCTAAGCTCTTTGGGTCAGTAATCCAGAAGATGATATTTCTCTGTTACTCTTCTTTTCTAACCTTTTGATAGTTGCTGTAATGAGCTTCGTGGTGGACTTCTTTCAAAATTGATGAGAAACACCACAAATTTTATTTCATTTACAGTATTTCCTACCTTTATTTATTTATTTTATTGTTGCCCTTATTGGCAAACGTGTCTAAAGCTCCTTCCTTCTCCTATTTTCCTCACAACAACAACTCCGTGAGGCAGGGGTGGGTTGCTGATGGTTTGGCCCGGTTTGGACAAACCGGTAGCGGAATTCAGGCCTGTGTCGCAGAACCAGCCGCGACCCAGGCCTGCCACGTCCCCAAACCGGTTCCCTCACTGCGGCTTGGCCACCACCATTTTGGATTTTAGTGACTGCGCATGGGCAGTTCACTGTAAATTGTTCTGCGCATGAGCAAAGAACAATTTACATTGAAATTGAAATTACTCACCCAGTGCACATCTGGCACATGGGTTGTGAACCAGCAGTAACACCGGCAGCAGCCCACAACCCCTGATGTGAGGTGAGTTGGGGAGAGAGAAGGCAGGAGGGCAGGAGAGAGAATTGGCTTTTAGGCTTAAGGCAGGACTAGAACTTACAGTCTCCTTGTAATTGGTTCAAAGTCACCCAATCAGTGACTTTCATGCTAAGTGGGGGACTAGAACTCAGCGTCTCCTGGTGATTGGCCCAAATTCAACCAGCCAGTTTTCATGCCTAAGGAAGGGCTAGAACTCACTGTCTCCTGGTGATTGGTCAAAAATATCCATATCTTTCATGCTTAAGACAAGATTAGAACTAGAACCCTGCCCCGCAGGTCCTATCTCCGCGAATGACACGCTGGTTTGTTTTCCTCGCCTCCTATGACTACCAGCTGCATCACCGCCCGGGGAAGCAGATCACTCATGCCGACGCACTCAGCTGTTGCCCCCTGCCGGAGGCTCCTGAAGACCCTGCTGCTGTGGCCCCTGTTTTCCTCATCGACAACCTCAACCTCCCAATTTCTGCCACCGACATCGCCCGGTTGTCCGCAAGGGATCAGATAATGTCCCGGGTACTAGACTGGGTTAGGCGGGGATGGCCAAAAGACCCCGTAGACCCCGTTTTCCTTCCCTTCAAATCCCACCTGGCGGAGTTGTCCGTCCAGCGCGGCTGTTTGCTTTGGGGCCACCGAGTAGTTGTGCCTGCAGCTGCATCACGCACACCCCGGCATTGTCCAGATGAAAGCCCTGGGCAGGATTTACATCTGGTGGCCTAAGCTTGACCAAGACATAGCTGACCACATCGCAGGGTGCCCTCAATGCCAGGGCGCCCAGGCCTTGCCTCCCAAAGCTGAGCCTCGTACGTGGGAACCACCATCCACTCCCTGGTCCCGGGTCCACGTTGACTTTGCGGGCCCCATTCAGGGCCGCATGCTATTCATTGCTGTGGATGCCTTCTCGAAATGGGTTGAGGTCGTCCACATGTCCTCCACCACNGAATAAGAATAGAATAGGGTAGAGTAGAGTAAAATAGAATAGAATAGCATAGAAAAAGGAAAAAGAATAGAATAGAATAGAATAGAAAAAAAAAAGAAAATAGAATAAAATAAAATAGAGTAGAGTAGAATAGAAAAAGGAATAAGAATAGAATAGAGTGGAGTGGAGTGGAGTGGAGTAGAGTAGAATAGAATAGAAAAGAAAAGAAAAGAAAAGAAAAGAAAAGAAAAGAAAAAGGAATAAGAATAGAGTAGAGAAGAAAAGAGAAGAGTAAAATAATTGGAAGGTACTTTTGAGGTCTTCTAGTACAATCCCCTTCTCAAGCAGGAGACCCTATACCATTTCAGACAAATGGCTGTCCAATCTCTTATAAACCTCCAGAGATGGAGAACCCACAACTCTGAAGGCAATCTATTCCACTGATTAATTGTTCTAACAATCCTGAACCCTCCCTGGGAGCAAAACCAGGCCACAGGGGGATGCACCACACTACCACCACTCCGTGCCCTATTTTGGGACTGGTAAACCTCCCTGCACTTACCTGGGAGCCAAAACAGGGTGCATGGGGACTCCTGGAAGGGACAGGGCAGGAAGGGGCAGGGCCAGCCAGCAATCTTACAACCCACTTGCCAGAACCAGCATGAACCGGCTGAATCACACCACTGAGGGGAAGGTGTATTGGATAAGTTTGCTATCTTGAGTTATTTGTGAAAATATTAAAGGCAGAACATACAAATGAATGAATGAATGAATGAATGAATGAATGAATGAGAAAGAAAGAAAGGAAGGAAGGAAGGAAGGAAGGAAGGAAGGAAGGAAGGATGGATAGATACATACATACATACAATTTCTGGCTTCTTGATCTTATGCAAGAATAGGACCATGAACACCTGTTCCTTACATGTATTTACAGGTTGGGCAGATTATCCTTGCAGATTTTAGTCCCTGAGATTTCTAAATCAAGTCAGTTAAATTTGAACTGTTAACTAAGATAGCAAGAAAGGATTCTGTACAAAGCATCAATCTTGATCAAACTGATTTTAATTGATAGGACAATTCAGTTAGTGGTGTGTGTGTGCATGTGTGCGTTTGTGCGCACGCGTGCTTTGAACCATTCCCTCAGAGTACTCTCAATACAAAACAATTCAACTTTTCACACTGAATCAACAATTCAAATCAAATCAGGGTTGATTTGCACACACCCCACTAATTGAGGCTTAAAGTAGTGAAACTGAAAGGTTGCGAAATGCATCGCTGCGTTTAATTTGATGTGGCTAAGATGGTTGTATAACATGACATGGATATTGGATTTCCTGGAATCCAAAATTGGCAGCTGTTGGGAGCCTTTGGTTGAGAAATTTGTGGGAGGAATGAAAAGAAGATTGAAAAGAAAATCACAGCAATGTTTAAAAGAGAAGTGGAAAGCTACTTCGTTACGTCAAAGTTATTGTCATAGCACAATGGACTTCGCTCATGAATAAGTACGACTTGTAAAGCACCCAGAGTCACGTTGCAGGGGAGGATGGCTGGCATAAAAAATGAATAAATAAAAATCAAATAAGAATAGAATAGAATAGATTTGCCCCCAACACTGAAATATTCCCAATTACCTCCATGATTTAGGGGTGACAAAGTCTCCACTACACTACAGAATTATTCTGGGATGTACAGAAATTTTGGATATAGGATCATTAAAGGGAAAAAAATAATCAAAGGGAAGAGATGATTGTACACAGCTGGTAAAGCTGAAGACATAAACATCCTAAATATGGGATAAAAATTAATCTACTGCCAAGTTTAGCCCTGATTTCACAAGTAACTCACATCCGCTCCAGATATGAATTTGGGGAGTGTTGAAGAATCCAAGAATTGATGTATACATTCCATCTCATTGAGGGTTTGATCCATGGAGGTCAATGTGTGATGTAATGTTCCCCTAGAGAGGCAGTGGGGGGAGTCTTGGCAAAACACAGCTTTCTCAGAGATGGGCCCAGATTAAGAGACTGCACAATCCTAAAATGGATGGGGGACAGGGAAGAGCTTCAGTAGCCCCATCCTAAAATCTCTCAGGATATCTAGTAGGTTAGAGGTTATCTATAGCAGTGTTTCTCAACCTTGGCAACTTGAAGATGTCCGGACTTCAACTCCCAGAATTCCCCAGCCAGCGAATGCCAAGTTACCAAGGTTGAGAAACGCTGATCTATAGCTTCAGTATGGCAAGATTCTGTCTATTGGATGTAAGCAAAAAACCATTAAACCTGATCAGATTTTGCTGTGAGACTCTGGGTTTGGGCCTGACATCATATGTGGGGGGCCTATGGAGCAGCACCAAGCCATTCTGCCAAGTCAACTAAAATTCATTCATTCATTCATTCATTCATTCATTCATTCATTCATTCATTCATTCATTCATTCATTCCTCCATCCATCCCTCCCTCCCTCCATTCATCCATTCAATTTCTGTACCTCCCATCTCACCTATGTGACTTCGGGCAGTTTCAAGGTTAGCCTGGAACTTCATCACTCTTATGGACACTCCATTTTCATTCCCCAAAACAGCCTTTAGTAAAGCATGCAATGTTGTGACTAAGATGGGGTGTCAAGTCACAACAAGATAAATAAGAATAAGGAAACAGAAAGTGATTTTTCTTCTTCTTCTTCCAAAATCCCATCAAGGTTTTGTGCAGTTCTTTCCGCAGAGAAAAACCACGACCTATTAATTTTGGGGGAGAGATATTTTAGGTTTGTGGAACATTTTTGTGGAGCATTTATTTATGCCTTTTAAAAGCATCTCCTTTTTAGCTTTACAGCTAAGTGTATTAATTAGCAGGAGATCTATGTAAAAGCATGAGATAAATAGAACATTAGCCATGGAAAGAGTTTAGTATCCTAGCAAGAGGAAATAAATCTCAGGCAAAAAGTAGGTCTGATTTACAGTCTGATTTACCGAAAATCAGGCTGTGGGGTCCTTTTCTTTGGGCTCACCTGCATCAGGTGAAATGGATTCATTTTAGTTCATGGGCACATCTCATCATTGTCAGCCATTCAATCATGTCCCATCACTCTATGGTTCAGTACTCTCCATGCCCTTCTGTCTTATCCTGCCTCCTTCTCATCCATCATGGTCACCCCGGTGTCATCCTTTACCAACAGGTACTAGGGCTCCCCTTCTTTGTTTTTCTGCTGATCACTTCCAGCCTGATTATAATACAATAGCAGAGTTGGAAGGGACCTTGGACCTTATTCACCAATCCTAGTTTGAAACTTACTTGTAGACTGGTAGAAGACTCAGAATTGGAATTTCTGGGTAATTATAGATCTAAGAATGGCTAAATTGGCTTTCATTGCTATTACATTATTTTTCTATATGTATTATGGCAGTGTATCTCAATCTTAGCAATTTTCAGATGGGTAGACTTCAAACTCCCGGCCACAAAATTGCTAAGGCTGAGAAACACTATCTTATGTCCATTTTTATTAGCGTTCTTGAGTGCTGTATTTTATGTCTAATTTCATGTAACCTGCCTGAAGTGTGTTTTTCCACTTCGACAGATTAATAAGGGGGAAAAAAAATCAAACTAGGAAATAATTGAGATCATTCCATTTTACAAAGCGGGATTTAATACCTATGAGAGCCAATCAACCGAGGTCCAAAGTCTTAGCAGGCTGCACAAATTATATCAGGGCATTTCATTTTAGCCCTGTGTTTCCTGAACAATTTGCACATTGGCTGTTAGAAGAAGGAATATGCAATTCTTCCAAAATATTTTTCTATTTTCACATGTATAAAATCCCATTTTTGGAATATATAACTAGGGATAGACCAGAAGATCAAACTGGCTCTCTCTTCTGAACTCTTGAACTATTTACCTCCAAGAATCTATCAAAATATTCATCAAAAACTTTAGATTAGCAATTTTAACTGCCTCTATCAAGGACAGCATGCTCTTACACACAATAGAATAACCCCCCCACCCCCACCCACACCTCCACACACCCTTTTTCTGAGATCATTTCAATCTGCAAAACGTTTTTGAGGTTTGAAATCAATATAATTAATGGGTGATGAGGGACGTTTGGTATTCTTCTTTATACAATGCCCCTGTTCGTTGTAGCTGAAGGACTGAAAGAGAATATAACAGAAAGACCCTGAAAATCTATTAGGATGGGGAAGAAGATATATTTGAAGACCACAATAGTTACAGGGACACGGTGGCTCAGTGGCTAAGACACTGAGCTTGTCGATCAAAAAAGTTGGCAGTTCAGTGGTTTGAATCCCTGAGTGCTGCGTAACGGAGTGAGTTCCCGTTACTTGTCCCAGCTTCGGCCAACCTAGAAGTTCGAAAGCACGTAAAAATGCAAGTAGAAAAATAGGAACCACATTGGTGGGAAGGTAACAGCGTTCCGTGCACCTTCGGTGTTTAGTCATGCCAGCCACATGACCACAGAGATGTCTTCGGACAGCGCTGGCACTTCAGCTTTGAAATAGAGATGAGCACTGCCCCCTTAGAGTCGGGAATGACTAGCACATATGTGTGAGGGGAACCTTTACCTTAATAGTTGACCAAGGGTATTAAAAGCATTACAGATGAATCATACTAGTTTGATGGGCACTACCTTAGTTGCCAGTAGTTTATGAGTGTCATTCAAAGTACTGGTGTTGACTGACAAAACTTTCCATTGCTTGGTTCCTCGTTTCTTTTGAGCATTGGCTCAGTGGCTTAATGATGCTAGAGATGGTCTCAGNTTGGGGGCAATATGCTGACTCTGTAAACCGCTTAGAGAGGGCTGAAAGCCCTATGAAGCGGTATATAAGTCTAACTGCTATTGCTATTGCTAGGGAGGAGGTGGAAAGTCAAGGCCAAAATGATCCTAGAAGAAGAACTGTGGCCTCTAAGATGGCTCCCACAGATCCCAGAAACAACACCAGAGCTCTCTGTCCAAAAGAGCACAATGCCAGGAACAGCAAAAATTCTGTGCAGAACCCTCAAACTCCCAGGTAACTAGAGAGGACCTGAATTTGAGGAGGCTCATAATGATCATAAGAAGTACTTCAGTCTTTTCTTTCCACATCCTATCTAGCTCCCCTTTCAGATCCTGGTACTTCTCCAGCTTCTCACACACCTTCTTGATGTTGCTGTCATTTGGTACTGCTACATCTATCGCCATCACTGTCTTATTATAACCCTTATCCGATAGCAGGAGTTGGTTGGCTAGTAGCAATAGCAATAGCACTTAGACTTATATACCACTTCACAGTGCTTTACAGCCCTCTCTAAGCAGTTTGCAGAGTCAGCATATTGCCCTCAACAATTTAGGTCCTCATTTTACTGACCTTGGAAGGATGGATGGCTGAGTCAACCTTGATCTGGTGAGATTCATACTTGCTTGTCTGCCTCCCCTTAAATGCTCTCTTGGGAAAAAAAATACTGCATTGTTAATATATATATATATATATAAAAGCAAAATACCACTCACTCATCCAGAACTATAAACCCTACAAACTTGAGATTTGGCACGTTTGTTCCCTTGACTTCTGGGTGCTCGCTAACAAAGGGTTTTTCAAAATGACTAACAGATCATCAGTATTTCTTATACAGTGTTATATTAACATGTGCCGATGCTAAGGAGTTAGACATTCTACTACTCCTCCCCACCTGAAAGGAACTCTGTTCCCACTGCAAGTTGCTTTATATGGGCGTGGCCAGTGCTTGACTCATCTGGCCTGCAGGCTGGGAGTTTAGATATTCTACTCCCCCTCCCCACCTGAAAAGAACTCTGTTTCAACTGCCAGTTGCTTTATATCAACACACTCTGAAGCTAAGGCGTTACACATTCTACATTAATTTTCAAGCTTTAAGTGTCAATGTATCAAGCCTGATTGTAACTACTCATTAATTTTCAAGCTTTAAGTGTCAATTTATCAAGCCCGATCACATAGTTTTGTAGTGAAGCATGGGTATCCAGCTAGTAATATTATATGGTAGTTGTTGTCTTTGCAATAGTAACATGGTATCATTCTAACATTGGAGGAAAATAGCAAGTACAAATGACTATAATTTTATCTCATTTTTTTTTCTCTATTCTTATTCCTTATTCCATTCCATTCCATTCTATTCTATTCTATTCTATTCTATTCTTATTCCTTTTTCTATTCCGTTCCATTCCATTCCTCTCCACTCCACTCTAGTCTACTGTACTCTACTCTATTCTATTCTTATTCCTTTTTTATTCTACTCTACTCTACTCTGCTCTATTTTATTCTATTCTAATTCCGTTTTCTATTCTATTCTTATTCCTTTTTCTATTCTATTCTATTCTATTCTATTCTATTCTTATTCCTTTTTCTATTCCGTTCCATTCCATTCCTCTCCACTCCACTCTAGTCTACTCTACTCTACTCTATTCTATTCTTATTCCTTTTTTATTCTACTCTACTCTACTCTACTCTATTTTATTCTATTCTAATTCCGTTTTCTATTCTATTCTTATTCCTTTTTCTATTCTATTCTACTCTACCCTATTTCATTCTTATTCCTTTTTCTATTCTATTCTATTTTATTCTACTCTACTCTACTCTACACTATTCTATTCTTATTCCTTTTTCTATTCTATTCTATTCTATTCTATTCTATTCTATTCTACTCCNTAATTAATTAATTAAAAAAAAAAAGGCAACTGTTTTGGACTACAAATTCCACCATCACTACTAACATACTCTGGGGCTGTGGTAGAGCAGGACATCTAACTATATCGTTTGCCTTCACCTCTTCCCATACACAAAACGCCACCTCGAAAAAAATGGAACATGTTTTCTAAGGATTTATATTAATTAGAACTTGCTTATAGTCCAGTCTTTTGGATATTTTTTTTTTTCATTCTGCAGCTTCCATGAGGATGGAGAAGCAGCACTACATAGCGGGATGAAGGTAGAATTGTGCATTTCCCCTAAGGGAAATCCTATTCACCATCCCTTTTTTCCAATGCAAGAGTCATCCACCTCCTCTGCTAGATCGGGGCCAATGTCAGATTAGTAGTAAAAGGAGGAGGGGAGGGTGTTGTCTCTCTCTCCTTCTGCTCCCTAGAAATAATATGGATGCAGCCCAAGATGCTTGATTTTTGTCTGCAAAACTCCCACATGGGCCCCGCAAGCCAGCCATCTGGCTACACAGATGAAGTAAAAGGTTGCTCACAGCATACAGCAGCCAGATACACAACACAATGGGGGCAGGCATTCTCTAAATAACAATAATAATAATAATTTTAAAAAATACAATGCCTTTGCTCCACTGGGCTGCCTCCTGGGTAAATTGCTATATAGGCACTTCATTAATTACATCCTAATCACAAGCATCTCCTTACTGCTACGTTATAATTAAGGAAGGGTGTTTCTCTGGCTTAAGAGAGAGAAGGGAAGTCAAATCCTCCTGAATTGTATGCTGGGAGCTTGCCCTGCTCATCTCTGTTCTTAAATCCCAGCAGAGAAGCTTGATTGCGATACTTTCCTTGATAGTAATTTGCATATACTCTCACACGTGCTCATGCTGGGCAAGAAGGAACAGCCGGTAGAGAAGGAACTCGGGCCCAAGTTAAAGGATAAACCAGAGGATAAGGCTATACCTTCACACCCCCGACAGCTATTCTGACAAGGTTCAAGGCACAGTTGAAAGACGCGTATTCAGATGCTCAGCAAAACTTAGCGACTCCCCTCTTTCCAATGGTGCCCCATTGATGATTGCTGTATGTTAGGTCTTTAGTGGCAATGCAATGATTCCAAACTGGTGACATCTCTAACCTTGCCTTCCAGCTCAGCTTGCTCTTCTCCTTCAGACTGGTAGACTTGTGCTAATTATATATAATCTATATAAATAAAAGCCAAATAGCACTCACTCATCACGAAATCTCCAGAACTGTAAAGTCTACAAACATGAAATTCGGCATGTATGTTCCTCTTGGCTTCTAGGTGTTCGGTAAGAAAGGATTTCTCGAAATAACTATTAGATCACCAGCATTTCTTACACAGTATTATATTAACATGCATCGATGTTAAGGAGTTAGACGTTCTACTCTCCCTCCCCACCTGAAAAGAACTCTGTTCCAACTGCCAGTTGCCTAATATTAACACGCTCTGATGCTAAGGAGTTACACATTCTACATTAATTTTCAAGCTTTAAGTGTCAATGTATCAAGTCTGATTGTAACTACTCATTAATTTTCAAGCTTTAAGTGTCAATTTATCAAGCCCCATCAGATAGTTTCATAGCAAAGCACAGATATCCAGCTAGTAATAGATAAAGTACAATGGCCCCTCTTACCTTTTCTACTACTAAGTCGTAGAGAAGGGTCACAGTGCGGATGTACAGTATCTCCATTCCTTTCTCTGTGCAAAGATTCCTGAGTACTTGAAGGCCTCCAAGTTTGAGAAATTGTTGCTGGGCGTAAGGAAAGTGTCGCAGCATCGATGACAAAGCAAAAAGAGCCTAGGAACAAAAACAAACCAAACCGCATCCATCATCATGGTTTTTTCATTTCCTGGGTCTCATCACGCAGGCCCTTTCTGCATTTCTTTCAGTTCTCATGCCTTGGCACGCCAATATTTACTTATTTAACAAATACACCACCACACTCCTGAGGTGCAATTTATGTAACCAAGATTTTATTTTTATACCATGGTGGGTTCCGGATCCCGTTCCAACCGGTACAGTTGGAACGGGGCCGGCGTCACCCACATGGAAGTGTGCAGTGCACGCATGCATCATACTTGCCTGCAATGCTTCCGCAAACCTCCATGACGCTCCAGCTGCTCGGTGGAGCATCGCACAGGCGCCATATGCGCCATGTACGTGGGCAGAAGTGCCAAAGGCTTAAAGGACAGGTAAGGAGCTTGGGCAAGCAGGTGGGCCCTCTAGAACACCGTACCAGAACGGTATCCGATGCTCCGGGCAGGCTCCGGTACACCTGTACTTGGGAGTACTGCCTGCAACCCACCACTGTTTTATACGATCACCAAAGTGGTTATGGCCTCATGGTGACTTGGGGACAGGACCCTCTATTTCAAGGGAGTGGACAATTATGTTTTATGACACCTGGACAGAAGTGTAATGAATCCACAGCAGAACAAAAAGGGCCAGGATCCAACTTCTGTGAGCAGAACTATTGTTTGCAAGATGGTAACTCCAAAGAAATATGAAGAATGTAATTTTAACCCATCTTTTTGTTTTCTTATCTGTGGCCCATGAAAAGTTGCTCCTGAAGATTCCACCATGATGTATCTCATGAAACAGTGAGTAAAATAAGGAAAATCAGCTCTGCTTCCTTCAGAGAAAATACTTATTGGAAGGTAGTCCCCAGTGGTGGATTGTAGACTGTACGCCCCGGTACGGGCGTACCGGAGCCTGCCTGGAGTACCAGATACCGGTACGGTGCTCCGGAGGGCCCGCCCACCCGCCTGAGCTCCTTACCTGTCCTTTAAAGCCTTCGGCACTTCTGCGCATACAGCACCTGCGTGACGCTACAACGAACAGCTGGAGCGTCACGGAGGTTTGCGGAAGCGTCCCTGGCAGCTACAGCACATGTGCACCGCACACATCCATGTGGATGAGGCCGGGCCCGTTCCAACCATACCAGTTGGAACGGGCTCCAGAACCCACCACTGGCAGCCCCTGAAGTGAAGGTTATCTACAGTGTTTCCCTAAAAATAAGATTGGGTCTTATATTATTTTTTCTCTCCAAAAGATGTATTAGGGCTTATTTTCTGCTTAGGTCTTATTTTGGGGGAAATGCAGTACTAAATGCATCCAACTGGCTGACAATCATAAGTGGGGCTTATTTTGAGGGTAGGGCTTATTTTATGAGCATCCTGAAAAATCATGCAAGTACTTATTTTCTGGTTAGGTCTTATTTTTGGGAGAACAGGGTAGATGCTGCTGAAAACAATCTACTATGGCTATTCATGCTGTTTACCAGTTGATTGTCATGGCATTATCTCTTTAGATCATGGGTGTGTCACGTGACATATTGTGACATTTCTCCCCTTTGCAAAGCTGAGGTGGGCGTGGTTTATGTATGATGCAGCTGGCCTGCGGGCTGCCACCCTGCTTTAAACCCACCAAACCTGTTACAACATGTGTAAACCCCACCCAGAAATAAACACAGCTAATGAGAAAGTTTAGGTGCTTATTTCATTATGTATATAACCCATTACTATACCGATACAATTCATTCCCCATAGTTATTAGAGCTATCAGATTAACGAGAACTGTGCCCATAAATTTCCATCTAATTGCTTATTTCTAGCTCTTCAGCCTTTGAAGTTGTTGTGATTCATTTCTATACTGTTTTATTTTATACCACATGATTATACTAATATAGTTTCAATATTAATGTGAAATATAGTTTACCTGCAGATTTTAGTGCTGTAGTAGTTTTACAATTCATGTTAGTTGTTTCTATTTTTATCTTTAGCTATTATTCTCTAGCTTTACTCACATTACATAAATCTCAACTGCACTTACTTTTAGCTTCATACGCTTAACGCTATAATCTTAACGATACAGGTATTACAATTGTAGCAACTGTGCTAGTGATTTGATTTGTGGCGAGATGGGTGGCCATATGCGTGTGATAAATAAAAAGTGATTTAAATTTTATTTCTTATAACGGAATAGCTGTAATTCTTGCATGTTTCATTTTGCTGGTCCTTGACTGAAATAAAATACTGCTACCAGCACCCAAGCTGAGGCTTTTAATTTGCGCTTTAAGATAAATATACACAATTCTTGAGGGCAGAATTATTTTGCTCTCATTATTTCAGTGGTTTCAATTTATTTTTCTCCCGACTGGGAAGCCAGCAGAATAATATCTGCACAGAGATCCTCGTTTGCAAGACCCCAGAGAGAGAGAGAGGTCTCGGGGAAAGGCAACAGATTGCATCCATGGGGAATTCGCCACAGAAGTACGAAAGAAACCAACTCTCAGAGTGATCCAAACTCCCAAGCGGGGATGAGCCCTTTCAAGGTTTGATTCCCATCACAGAATTGACTCAAGCGCAAACATCTGGGAATGGAAATAGTAGTAGTGCAGGCAGCCCTTTTGCTTGAGTTTAACAATCATCTCATTAATTAGACATTAGCATTAGTTATTGCGGTGGCTTTGACATTTCCCTGTAAGGCACACTAAACAGAATGTCATTAAGATGCCATTATAAGGTGCTGTCTGCAGGGGGAAATCGCACAGATATGGATACATTTCTGGCACGCTAATCACAAAGTCACTGATGCCCCCGCAAGTTAAGAGTTGCAGATGTCAGATTTACTGGTTTGTAATTTTTATAATAAGCCAAAGTGTGATTTGTCTGATTTTTGTTAGCCCTTTGGGTACAGCAGGTCAAGAAACGGGCATGGCAATGCTTTTTATTGTAGTAAAACTGAATAACAAGAGATCTCGTAAACCTATCCAAATTCCTCTCTCTCCCATTTTATACTAAGCAAAATCATTTTGAGTTTCTTTCTCTTGCAGATAGATGAAGGACCGTGCAAACCCCTCTTAACAACTCACTCCTTCTTTTCTTAACAGCTCTCTCATGCCTTCCCTAGGGTCACTTCCAATTCCTTCACAGCCTTTGGTTTAGTTGGTAGTGTGAACTTCACCATTATGGTTTGTGAACAACGCTTGAAGGGTTAGCATTATGTTTGAATGCAGCCAACCGTGGCTGATTCAACACAACTGCTTGGGTTTGGTTTCACAGCTCACAAGAACCCATCCTCTCTTTTAGTACATCTTCCTTCTGTGTACTTTGCTCCTTCTCAGGAGCTCAGTTACTCCAGTCTATTCCTTCTTGTAATTTAGGTGATGTGTCGGCTTTTATAACAAAGGCATGCTGTCTGTAATGCCGTAAGACTTTCCAGCACCACCAGCCTGTGAAAATATGTGAATATGTCTTCATAGAATATAGAACATAAAACATAGAGTTGGAAGGGACCTTGGAGGTCTTAGGAGACTGGAGGTTAAAACAATGAATGGTTGGAGGAACTGGGCATGGCTAGTCTAGTGAAGAGAAGGACCAGGGGAGACATGATAGTAGTGTTCCAATATTTGAGGGGCTGCCACAGAGAAGAAGGGGTCAAGCTATTTTCCAAAGCACCTGAAGACCAGACAAGGAATAATGGATGGAAACTGAACAAGGAGAGATTCAACCAGGAAATAAGGACAAATTTCCTAAGAGCAAGAACAATCAACCAATGGAACAGCTTCAGACGTTGTGGGAGATTAATCACTGGAAGCTCTCAAGAAGAGACTGGACTGCCATTTGTCAGAAATGGTGTAGGCTTTCCTGCTTGGGCAGGGGGGAGAGATTCGCACCCTCACCACCGTCCAGACCTTCCGCATAGCCCTTAAG